TGGAGATTTACTGCTGATCACAGAACCGTGCTTCACTGAAAGATACGCATGACAATCGCAGCTTCTGTCGAATTGCGATTTCGATTCCATTTCGATTTATCATGCAGCCCTACTTGACACCATTTTAAATACTTGCTTTGGTTTAGTTCTTAATTTCTTTTGACCAGAGAACCTTTGAGTGACCTTGGAGGAGTCAGTGGATTCTTACATTTAACAATGATCTGGGAATTAGCCTCGATGATGCCCAGGCTGCTCATGGCCATGCAGGTGTAGTTGGCCGACTCATGGACGTCGTTTAACTCCAGAACGTTCCTGCCCACTGGCATCTCGTCCTCGGGTGTCAGGTCCTCAGAGTTAAGCATCCACTTGACGTAGGGCATGGGTGAGCCAACGGCGACGCAAGTGATGTTAATGCTACCACCTGGCATGATCTCTTGCATGGTGGGGGGCGTGATGGAGAAACGTGGGGGCACGCGACGAACTGCAAAGGGCGGAGGAATGGTGACAAGAAAAAGAGAAAGAGAAAGGTAATGACACGTAGATGAAAATGAGCCTTTCTTTAGAACGTACATGATGTTGTCTAAAGAGAGGACAACAAATTATAAAAAACAAATGAGACTAAAACTTCACAAACATTTTGGTTTATACAAATTAAAATAATGGTAAAGTAACTAAATTAACAGAACTGCTTCACCAACAATATAGATTGACATTAAAGCAACAACTTCATAGCAACAAGGTTCCATTGACCAATATTTGACCCATCACAGCACAATTAATTGCACAAAAATCTATTATGAGTTTCTCATCATCAATTAGATCTCTATGTGGCTTGTAACTACAGTAAACAAAATGAAAAGCATGCATTACTGTTAAAAAGCAGAAAAGCTTTATAGTGTGAATAGAAAATACTCCAAGAGTATAGAATGGTGTGAAGAACAAAACTTTTTTGCAATTTTTTAAAATCTGCCCATGCTAAAGAAATCTTACATATACACAACTGTACGTACATGTTGGTACGTACATGCACTAGTAGAGGTGAATCCCTTCAAGAGGGACTAAAGATGAGAAACCTTAATCAGATTTTTGTGGTTGAGAGTAGATCAATTAGACAAAGCCTTTTTAAGATCTGACACGCTTCCATTGATAGATGCAGCTGTCATTTTCACAGACATCATGCAGAAATAGGTAGAGGTCAACCAAAGAGTAAATGGGAACAATAAAACCAGAGAGAAGAATTTGAGATAAAATGCATAGAGGAATATAACTGAAGGGTCGCTAGCATGCCCGGAGAAATATAAGAGAATAGAACGCGCAAAAGAGCAAGAAAGAGGAAGAAAGGGAAGGGTTGGGAAAAGGAACGAGGGGGGGAAACCCACTTCAATGCAGAGAAAGGCTTTTTATCGTCTCCAGCCAATATGACGTAATGTGACAGGTTCGTATTGTCACATTGCGGTCCTGGCTAGACGTAACAAAATTTACAGCGGAAATTCTGGATTCAGTCAATAAAATAGCTGATAGTTCAGCTCAACTAACTATCACACACATAAAAAAAAAAAAAAAACAAGA